AATCAATTGACGACTGTCCCGCACATAGACAATTTCTTGTACCAGACGCTATTTCTTTTATAAGAAAATACATAGAAACGCTTTCCAAACCCAACAATGTTCGGTTAAATTTCAAACGAAAAGTCAACAGTTACCCTTCAAGATACTGAGCATGCGCAATCAGGGTCTGTCGAGCATAGCGGAACCTGCTTTCTTCTCTCCGTCAGCGTAGTCTGAAAAGGTTGAAAAACCTGAAGTTTAATTTAGTCAGCGAACTGGTATAATGAAAAGTGTTCTTAGGCAACTTGTTTCTTTATTGCCATTATATTCTCACTAAGGTTGGCGCATCCCGTCTTAGAAGAGCGCAGTGAATAAAATGCTTATACGTAGAAGTATTTGAACGCCGCCAAAATACCTCTTCGTCATCTCTGCACCCGTCTATAAAATCTGTAGCCTTGAAACGCCGGTATATATAGCTACTGGATCAATGCTTGTTTTCTCAACTTTCCTCTTTTTAATTAAGTGCGAACGCTAATTTTGAAACTGCACTGACCTGCAAAAAAAGCTAACATGCTAGAAAAGAAACGCACATGAAAGTAGGAAATCAATTATTAGTTAGTCATTTCCATTCCTGTGGATGACATCATTTGTCAAATTATGCCGTTCCAGGCGTTCAGTCAGTGAAACGTAACGATGGTAGAGCGAAAACGAGGGAGATTTGGGTCGAGTTTAGTCATGTACCCAGATCTTTTACGGCCAAGCGGTTACAGTTATAGGATCAGAAGGTCGGGTCGTGTAGTTCCTTTACGCGTATTAGTACCTTTACGCGACCTGACGTTAACTCCCTTGTGTTTTTCTATCCGTGCTACCATTGCAACAGGTTGGAGAGAGGTGCATACGCGCAATACGCGCACATGCATACCGCTCGATTTATTGCTCTCTGCCCAAATCTCACCGTTTACTAACGCGCTTCGTTTTACTCACTGGATAACTGGAATAGGCTACAAGCAGAGAAAAGTACAAAACAGAAACTGAAACAAAAAAACAAAAACAAAAACAATCCAAAAATCAAAACTTCAAGTAACAGTTCGATGAAGAACCATCTGTATAACTAGACACTGAAGAAAATAACGAAAGCTTGAAGAACTACTCAGGAGTCTCAACTGTCTCCAATAATTTTCTAAAGTGGAGGTGAATAGTGGTAGATATTTACCGAGCTGCAAAGCGGCAAAGTAAATATTCGCCACAGGTGAGAAGTGCTTTTCGCGCGGGTTGATTGGCTGGTTCTGAAGTAATGCGCTCAACTTCGGTGAATAACAGCCAAGTAATTCTGGGTTAATCAAGTGTAAGCATTTTGCGACATTGTTTTGAGTTTTCAAGTCGCCAAGACAAATGGTAGCTGCCCGGAAATTCTGTAAGTTCCAAGGTTGAGACGTAGTCTCTCTATAAGTGGTCCACTGCATTTCAGAAACATAAGTAAATAAATAAATTTTCAAGTTTTTTTTCAAATATCTATCTTAATCCAAATGATTTTGTTTTTAATTTATCGCAGAATATTTCAACGGAGCTTAAACCGCTCAAAGGCACATTCTCATCAGACGTGAAAACAAAACACAATACAGCTGTTGAGCACTTCGCTCAATTTTTTTTTCAATTTTTCCCATGGTTTGTGGAAAGGCTCAATATTTTTACATTATGAACTAAGACTTGAGTATTATTTCATCCAATACCTATTTTCCGGTGGCGATATTGGCTTATAATTGTTATAACTGAGTTTCATCTAAGTAATTCCGGGTTTTGTTTGTTCTTGAATCTTAAGCCATGACGACAAAAGAGGCTAGAACGAAACACTTTTCACCCTGGCCTTAGCGAATCCTGTCAAAATGATTGTTGAAACTTTTCATTCTTAGCACAGGTTAGATTTACCGGGAAACCAAAAGGAGAAGGACAGGGAGAAAATAAACAATCAGAGGCAGTTTGCACTATTCCGCACAAAAGTTGTTTTCTTCACGATGGACTCCTTTTCTTTAATACTCTTTA